AGATGGAGATGTGGAAGAAGGTTGAGAACAATTAGATTCAACTTAGTTCATTGTTAATGGTGTTCAACTTGGTTAGTGGTGTTCGACTTGGTTTCTTATGTTTGACTTGGTTTCTTATGTTTGACTTGGTTTCTTATGTTTGACTTGGTTTCTTATGTTTGACTTTGTTCCTGGTTAATGGTGTTCAAATTGGTTCCTGGTGTTCAGCTTGGTGTTCCGACCTTTATAAGTTGTTGATTTCTTTCTTGGCAAGTGGGGGGCGGTCGGGTAGTCTAGTGGTTAAAGCGTTCGTTCGTCACGCCGAAGACCCGGGTTCGATTCCCGACATGGGTACAATGTGTGAAGCCCATTTCTGGTGTCCCCCGCCGTGATATTGCTGGAATATTGCTAAAAGCGGCGTAAAACCATACTCACTCACTCTTGGCAAGTGGGGATGAGGATAAAAGTTGAGACAGGGTTAGATAGGTTGGGTCACATGTGACTTTCAAATGGGAAAAACAATGTTTATTTCGATCAATCTTTATTTCTGCACTGAAAAGACCAAAGGCCAAGGGTTCATTATTTCAGAGTTGTTGAGCCTAAGAGAGCGATTCCCCTGTACATCATCTCACGATAAATAAACATCATGAATTGTTGCAGCATTACACTGTTAGGAAGCTAACCGATTCGTATTTAAAGACATTGGGATGGACAAAGTAATATAGTGATATATACTTATTTCTTAATGATGCATAAAATGGACAATAAGAAAACGATACTCATCCTCTATTTCATATGAATTACATAATGCACAAATTCTCTCGATATTGTCTGTCATGCAATTTTTATGAAAAGGTCATGTGAATAACATTGACATCTAGGTGGAGCTATTCACAAATTTTTCTCTAATAAAATAGATAAATAATGTTCAATGCATGTATACGTGTTTTCCCCCAAATAGTATTTTGATAAAAAAATTGAATCCAATTTTGTAAATCAGCATCTGCCTCAGTAGATGACATGATTTCAACGTCAGCGCCAAGAAAGATCTGTAGCAAGTCTGGGGTCATAATGACTGTTTTGAATGGATGTTTTTCAAAGTTATAACATGCAAGTGTGAGAGGTTAGTGTTGGGCTGATAAGCAGTCTGGTAATTTGAGTCGGTCCGTGACGGATAAATATATACCAGACAAATTGTTATGTGTTTTTCATGTTAGTCTGACAATAATTTTCATAAATGGTCACATAAGTAAATACCAATGACAGTTTTATTGCTGTGCAGTACATTTAAGTAATCTAAATGGATTTCTCAGGCTGTTATGACTTGAATTACCATTGGCTCATTGTGAAATCTTGGATGATGCTAATAATGAACAAATATTGTCAGTTACATATATATTTTATGTGTGGAGTATCTACTGAAAAGCTGGGGCGGTTGGGTAGCCCAGTGGTTAAAGCGTTCACTCTTAAAATACGCCGAAGACCCGGGTTCTATTCCCGACATGGGTACAATGTGTGAAGCCCATTTCTGGTGTCCCTGCCGTGTTATTGCTGGAATATTGCTAAAAGCGGCGTGAAACCAAACTCACTCACTCACTCACTCACTCACTCACTCACTCACTCACTCACTCACTCACTCACTCTGAAAAGCTATTTTTCACATGATCCTGTTGGTTATTCTTTGTCATAGTTTGGGGAATTAAAACTTGAATTAAATAAAAACTTAAACACGAAGTTTATTCTTTTATGACTGTTAAGAGTAAAGGTGTCTGTTATTGTAGTTGTGGCTCGCAGTCCCAGCAAACAGCTGCTGATGCTTGTCTGTTCATTTTCAACATGGCTGAAGAAAAAGTGACCATCTTCTGATCTTATGTTGTATATAAGAAAGAAAGCCGTTTCCAAGATGTAAACCTATCTTAGGATTATTTGATGACGAGGAAGTGACTCATCATCCAAATTAGTTTCACAGAACACACAAGTCAAATCATCTACTTTTCTTGTTTACAAGGATCATTAAAGGCAGTGATATTTCCAGCAGTATCAGCTGGGTATGCAAATTGCAAGTGATCGATATCTGATGGATTACAGAGTTTGTCAGCTTGCTCATAAATTAAAAAAAAGTATTACAATAATGTATTTAACCAAATCCGATATTGTCAACATTAGATGTTAAAAACCATGAAATCCAACTTTATCAATTAAAATCTTTACTGTTGAAACTACCTATTATTTGTAATGTTTCAGGGCTAATTATTTTTTGTAATGACGTTTCAGAGCTATGTATTGTTTGTAATGATGTTTCAGAGCTAGGTATTGTTTGTAATGTTTAAGGGCTACTTGATTGTAATGTTTCAGAGCTACGTATTATTTGAAATGATGTTTCAGAGCTAGGTATTGTTTTTAATGTTTGAGAGCTAAATATTATTTGAAATGACATTTCCGAGCTACGTATTGTTTGTAATGACATTTGAGGGCTGCTTAATTGTAATGTTTCAGAGCTACGTATTATTTGAAATGATGTTTCAGAGCTACGTATTGTTTGTAATGACGTTTCCAGGCTACTTCTTGCCACTTTTAAATGCTTACCATCTCAGTGTTGAGTTGAGGGTATAAATGGTCCCCAGCAACCCATGCTGGTCAAAGGGGTACTTAAATATTGGGTGGTGAGACTCGATGACTTGGTTCATTGTGTATCATTGTGCCTGTCAACATCGAGCGTTACTATGAATAGCAAACACTGGATTGTCTGGTCCGAATTCGATTATTTACAAGCCATTCCCTGAATGCATAATTAAACAACTAACAAATACCCATCAAAGAGATGAGTGACATTGAATAAATGAAATAAGATTTGTCTAAGCCATTTCCGATGTAATTTGTTGACGCCGCCATTTCCCAGCTGTCTGCAATATTGTATTCTGTAATATCTATTGATTCCTGAAAATGAGGCTCTGGGAGATGTTGGAAACCTGCTGATTCAATGTGAGAACACCATCAGACAAGATTTGGGTCAAGACTCGTGTAAAGCACTTGAGGAGGTAGAAAAGGTATGAGAAAGCAAAAAACGTGGAGTTTCCGATGCAAGTCATCTACACGTTTATTCTTGCTAGAGTGAGATAACAGATGCTGCTGCTGAGAAGGGAGAAAAACCGAGCACGATACCCTGCACAAGAAACCTGTTGCTTGCACCGACTTACATCACGGCAGAGGTCGTTGATTAACTCGTAATTGCCGGAGAAACACGATACAAACCTGTGCCACCTGGATAGAGCATTGTCTTGCTTGGTTACCTTGATGGAAAGCAAAGATTGACTCGTGGGTGAAAAACACCATCAGTGTTCACGAGATACAGGCTTCTTGAATGAGACTTTGTTGGTTTTGTAAGGCGTCCTTGTGACGTTTGGAAACCTGAGAGATAGTTTTGCCTACTGTTTATCCTCTTCTTCTAACTTTATCAAGTTTTGAGGATTGGGAAAGAGGATGAAATGTTACCTTGTGTTTTGACTGACACGTTCACGTGAAGTGGCTTCCTTCTGATGGAGGGCAGTTTGTTGGGAATGGATAATGGATGCTTTATTTGAGGATGATCATCATGGGATTGGTGTCGTTCTTATCTAATTACTGGTGCGGTTGAAGTCAGTAAGTCATGAAAAGGTTTTGTTCATTTTTTTGGCTCTTTTCGTAGGGATATTTCAAGGTCTGAATCTTATCAGTTTGTCTTGTCTGTGCAATGCTAGGAAGAAGCTTGTTCATGTTGACGTACATTGGACGTGTTGGGGGTACAGAATTGAGTTGGAATTGATGTGTCTGAATAAAGAAAGGATAAGACCATTCAGTCCCCTGAGAAATGGTTCAACTTCAAATAGATCATTCCTGTCAGTTCTTCTTAATGGAGAGGAGATCAAGTTATTGCCATGATGATGAAACAACTTTGCCCGATTCTATGATCTAGAATGTGGCCAGGTGTGTGTGCTTGTAGGGAAATAAGTTACCTTGGTGTCATGTGTATGTTTATCGATTTCTCCAGAAACATTCAGGGGTGTGTGGTTTAGCCTAGTGGTGAAGGCATTCACTCATCACGCCGAAGAACCAGGATTGATTCCCCACCTGAGTGCAATGTGTGAAGCCATTTCTGTCCCTCTGACGTGATGTTGCTAGCTTTGCTGAAGCACTACCTACACAACCATTCAGGTGTGTCAGCTGTAATTTTGAAATTATCAAAAAGGATTTGACAAGGAAATCATTCGAGTATTGGCGAGTGTCCAGAGGAATTTGTATCCTATTTGCCGTGGGATACTGTACTAAAGTACGAATGTTGGAGGACCATCGGAATCCAAAGGGCAATAAGAAGACATCAAGTAAATCTCCAAGAAGTGAGGAATCTTCTCTTTCGTCTTCTGAATAATGACAGCCTTTCTCCTTGAGAACCATGACGCATCAAGTGCACAACCCCCGTACATCCATCTCTGAAGGATTAAGTACTGATGCCCGTGATTTTGGGTTCATATGAAAACTGTACACAAATTTGAAGATGGATAAATCATGATGATGAACTAGTCTGAAGGAGTGTTTTTGCCCCGACTTTCAGTGAAATCTTTTCCGTCTGCAAATACACATCTGCTTAAATTTGATGATTCAGAGGATGTTTTTTAGTTAATTCGTCTGCTACGGAAGAGATCTGTATGTAGGAGGATGCAAATCAAAATCTAATTGCTTCAAATAACACAGATAAAAATCTGCTTCAGATTCGTGTTCAGGAGTTTTTGTTAGATATAATTGTCTGGCATAAAAATGTGCCCTAATCGTGATTTAAAATTGCCATCAACCCTCCAATTCCTGTTGAGTTGAATTTCAAACTAACTGTATTACATGATATTTTTTCAATTCTTGAATGTATCTGGTTACAAGATAAAAGGAGACAGGATGAGTAAAAGTTTTAATCAGTTTGTGCAGACGCCTTCTCATGTGATTATTCCCTGTTGCAGAATTATATTAAGTGTGCCCAATTGTTCTCTTTTCAGTTGTGGATTATTTTGAAGAGAATTGAAACTGTTGTGAGATTCCTAAAAACTGTTGATCTTGATCAGTGAGGATATGATTTGATGAAAAACTGACTGTTGAGGATATGATATTGTGAAAACTGTGACATAAGCAATAACATTGAAAATGTCGCGCACAAATGGAGTACGCCCAGCGAGCACGGGAGCTTACGTCTCCATGTGGGAGAGCAAACTACAGGAGTTGATGGTAAGGACGAGGGGAGATATTTAATGCATGCTGTATCGGGAACTCTGTACAGGATATAAGGGAACGCGTGGGGGGCGGGGACTTAGACTAACGTCTAGTCTCTGAAATGAACATATCGTACGGAAAAAAAACACAGTTAAATTATCTTAATAAAAATATAATAAAAAGGAGCCTAGGACTCTCTTCATTTCCTGATACTGCAGTAATCTAGACTTGCCAAACATTATAGACTTGCATGGGCTGTATATGATATACTTGTATCAGGGTCTGTAAGACAGACTAGCGGGGACTGTACTATTGCCACTACTGGTAGCTATTGCCACAGCTGTTAGCTGATGCAGCTCATGTGGTGGTTGGTTATCCTAGTGGTTCAAGCGTTCGCTCGTCACGCCGAAGATCCGGGCTTGATTCCCCACATGAGTACAATGTGTGAAGCCCATTTCTGGTGTCCCCCACCGTCATATTGCTGGAATATTGCTAAAAGCGGCGTAAAGCATTACTCGCTCACTGATACTGCTCATGTAAAATACATATGCAATGTGAATGCTACCCCTTGCTATGCTACACAAAAAAAGTTAAGGACAAGCCAATTCTTTCATTGTTTGCCAGTGTTGAAGCATGGCATGCAGCTTACAATATGGTGTCACTCTTGCTATCCTTCTAAAAAAAGTTAAGGACTTAAATAAGCTGATTCTTTCTTTACTATAGTTGATCTGTCATGCCAATAACTATAGTAAATTGAAAGAATTGGCTAGTCCTTAACTTTTTTTAGTATTTTAGCAATTGAAGTTACAAGAGATACTTATCAAGACTGAGTTTGAACATATTGCCATAAATTATTTATTTCCAGAGTAAATTCCACTGCTACATGTTTTAAGATTATATGCATCCTATCTTCAATGAGGACAAGTTTTCTGAGAAACTACTTGAAAGTTTGCATACATATAAGAGATACTTGTTCCATAGTTAACATTTATACCTTCCATATTATTTACTACTATAGGAACAAAGAAAATACTGTGCCTCGTGGGGGAGGGGAGTTTAGCTGTTTTCTTGTTGCCAAGGCGATTGATGTTTTGTATGTAAATTACTCTTGTGTAAGACATGAGGCAGGGTTAAGGATAGGACAAGACTCATTAGGATTGGAAAACCGTTAGTCAACCATGCTTGTCTTATCGCTATTGGTATCCTCTTGTCTGTGCTATTTCCTCCCCCCAGGCAGGTCCCTTGTCTGTCAGTGATGGTCGGGGATAAACACATGTTATTCCCTACCATCAAGTACACAGCCATCACTAACAGTGTTCTGGCCTCCTGCATGTTTAATGGCTGCATTGCCAGCACATGGAGAAGGCTGGATGATACGGTAGATACCACGCCAGTCTGTAGATTCCTGCAGCAGGTACTGAAGACGGTGGAGAAACATGGAGTCACCTGCGTTTAGCTGCCTCAAGAGGGTATGATTGCTACCTTAGTGTGCAACACACTCAGGGAAACAAACCACTGTCTTAGCCTTGCTCCAAGGCTGTACTGATACCAGGGATGAAACAAGTCCATGGATGTTTAGTCATTCTATCCTCCAAATAGGCAAGTCTAGATATGTGGACAGAAGGACTCCTGTCTCTTAAAGGGACAACTTGTTTTTACTGTTTACGTAATCTAGAAACTATGATTTAAACTAATAATTATTGCCACAGAGACTTTTACAAGTCTGAGTACTCCAGTCTTTTATGGGGACATCTTGTTCTTACTATTTACATAATCTATAAATTATGATTTAAACTAATAATTATTCCCTAAGTGACTTGTGCAAGTCTACCACTGCCTCATCATTAATCATCCTCATCATCTGGAGATCCCAGTATCCCAATAATCCTTCTCCCCCCTCCCCCCTCCCCCCTCTCCCCCCTCCCCCTCTCCCCCCTACCCCTTTTCCCCCCTCCATATCAATACCTACAGAAACCATGTCCTCTTGTTAATGTGCATGTGCAACGATTAACAACAAGTGTTAATGCATCTGTGTTGTCTTAAGGTTTGGGGTGAAATCCTGCCCCCTGAGGTGCTCTTGGCTTTTGTCTTGTACTAACACATTTAGGAGGATTACCAGGCAACTTGATAAACCTCCCTCCAGGGGACCAATAGTCATGTAGCATGCTGCAGGATCCTGTTTGGATAACATGCCTTGAAACAATATATTCCCTCAGAATTAGACTGAGACAATGTGCCTGCATTCAGAAAGTCGTGACCTGGAAATGCAAGTGTGTGTGCCTGAACAAGCAATGCCATATCTCGGCCATTACCATCCTGAGAGTTCAGTTACAAAGTGAATTGGGCAGAGAAAGTGAGTGGCAACTCAGTGAATAGGGCATTGTTTGGTTGTTGATGGGGGAAGAGAAAGATTTTGAAACCCGAGATCGGAATCATCACAGGAATGTTGATGCATTGAGTGTGATAATGCCACCATTAGGGTGTAGTTTATTAATTGCAGAATTATCTCCATGGCAACCTTGGTTTGAAGTTCTTAGTTGTCTTTTCACTAATTGTCTTCATGATCAACATACCATATTTAGGTGAGATGAGGTGAAATTGGTTTTAACGTCGCATCCAAGATTATTGCACTTATATAGCGACGTGCATGCACGTGTGTGTGTGTGGCTGCTTGTACTAGTCCGGACTGATGCCGATTTATAGTGCTAGCTCACTGAGATACCATGCCGCAGTTTAACATGAATACCCCACTCAGACACAATATGCTGACTTCGAGCCGACCAGTCCTTGTTTTAGCCCCTTAATGCCGAGTGCCAGACAGGGTAACAACAAGTACCATCTTTTAACGTCTTTTGGTATGACGCGGCCAGGGAACGAACCCCGTACCTTCCGCTCTCCGGGCGGACGCTCTACCAATAGACCACGGAGGCGGTCCCATATTTAGGGTTATATTTAAAGAGAGTTAAGAATGTGTTTATCGTCATGTATCGTACAGAAGGCCACAAATGGCAGGCAGTGTATCAGAGTTTCTATGCATGTATGTTCTAGTTCACCCTAAATATTCACTCCACCCATGAAGATCCAGGGTAGAATAGGTCTTCAGCAACCCATGCTTGCCGTAAAAAGCGACTATGCTTGCTGCTGCACATGATGTCAATCACTGGATTGTGTGGTCCAGACTCAATTATTTACAGACCGCCATCATATAGCTGGAATATTGCTGAGTGCGGCGTTGAGCAACAAACAAACAAAGTTAACATTCACTGATGGTTATGTACAGTCAAGGGACTCACTCACTCACTCACTCACTCACTCACTCACTCACTCACTCACTCACTATTAAAATCTTGATCTTGCTGAGTCAATGTTCGTCACTGAAACACTTGCTTTGTTACAACACTGCTGCACAGTAGGACTCCAGTCTCTTTCGGGGCAACTTGTTCATATTATTTACATAATCTAGAACTTATGATTTGAAGTAATAATTATTGCCTTAGAGACTTAAGCAAGTCTAGGGTAGTGAGACTGACACTGGCTACCAGTCAAGGGAGAGCAGTGAGAGTGATCCTAAGGCTTATTCTATTTGTGCCAGGCCCATCACCAGTACCTGTTGAGAGGGATATTTGATATGTGTTTACATGTTTTTCTGGCCAGAAGATGTACATATATCTGATTTACAGCTGAGATGGCTGTTCGAGGTCTCAGTTGCTTGATTGAGTTGATTTGGAAATTATTGGTCTGTTTTTAGAAAAAATATTCAGATTCTGAGATTTATTTTCTTGAAGAAATGGAAATGAAGAATTATGAATGGACTGGAAACATGGGTGGTCTTTCCCTCTCTGGTTGTGATTGGGTAGACTTGCAAAAGTCTCCTTGGCAATAATTATCAGTTTAAATCATAATTTCTAGATTGTGTTAATAACAAGAACAAGTTGTCCCCCCAAAAAACTGGAGTTCTTACTAGACTTGCCTGTTAGAAGGATAGAATTACTACACATCCATGGACTTTTCTTTCTGTACAGCCTTGGAGAAAGGCTAGTGATAGGGTAATGCTTAGTCTGTCTTACAGACCCTGATACAAATATATATCAAATACAGCCCATGCAAGTCTATAATGTTTGGCAAGTCTAGATCACTGCAGTATCAGGGTCTCTGAAAATGAATAGAGTCACTTGGCTCCTTTTTATTATATTTTTATTAAGATAACTGAACAACTGTTTTTTTATGTACGATATGTTCATTTCAGAGACTAGATTTTAGTCTAGGGTAATGCTGTTTGTAGCTGTGTAGGTAGCTTTTGTTAGCTGATGCTGTATCTTACAAGGGGCAACATCTTACTTGTTGGCCTAGTGGTTAAAGCATTTGCTTCTCACGCCAAAGAACCAGGTTTGATTTCCTCATGGGCACAATGTGTGAAGCCCATTTCTGGTGTCCCCTACTGTGATATTGCTAAAAGCGGCTTAAAAAACATCACTCACTCACTCACTCACTCACTCACTCACTCACTCACTCACTCACTCATCTGGAACAGGCAGGGTTCGGTCGGGTAGCCTAGTGGTTAAAGCGTTCGCTCGTCACGCCGAAGAGCCAGGTTCGATTCCCGACATGGGTACAATGTGTGAAGCCCATTTCTGGTGTCCCCCGCCGTGATATTGCTGGAATATTGCTAAAAGCGGCGTAAAACCAAACTCACTCACTCACTCATCTGGAACAGGCCCCACAGGATGCTTGGATGATCTATAACTACCCTGATAGACAATTAGTGCTACCATTAGTGCTCCCACAGGCACATCTCACCTCCCTGGTGTCCATCCAAGCCCTGAGAAATTAGTTACCGAAGCTGCTGCACCGAGCTGGATTTATAGGTTCCGACGTCAAAAGGGGACTGAACCATTACGTGGGACACACACAGACTTCCATGGGGCAGGGAATAAAGTAAATGTTTCATCAAGTTTATGGCCACCAGTTCTTCCGACAAGAGTACTTTATTGTACTGAAGCGCCTTGAGTTATTGATAACCATATGGTCGGCGCCACATGTTGCTATTTATCATAGGGGTGCAATTATTGAAGTATGGCACCGGAAAGAACCAAAGTAATATGTTATTAGCATCAAGTTGCCCTCATTCCAAGTGTAATGATCACTGTTTGGTTGTATCTACGCAGTAGACGAAACAGTAAAAGGAAAAATTATTTACTTCACTCAAACAAACAGGTACATTCTGATACCAGCAGGGGCGGTCGGGTTGCCTTGTGGTTAAAGCGTTTACTCGTCACGCCGAAGACCTAGGTTTGATTCCTGACATGGGTACAATGTGTAGAGCCCATTTCTGGTGTCCCCCCACCATGATATTGCCGGAATATTGCTAAAAGCGGCGTAAAACCATACTCATTCACTCTGGTACCAGCAAACATTTATGTTCAGTGCTTGGAAAAGAAGCATGGAAGATGGGTCCTTGTCATCTTGTTTTCTGAGGGGCACGGGTGGCCCAGTCGTCTAAGGCGCCACGATTCGCTGTGCAGAGTTGCGTCCCATGGGCACGCCAGAAACCTATGATTGTGGGTTCGAATCCTGGTTCACCCCGATTATAGTTCTAGGTTTGTCAGCACCATACCCATGCTCATGGCTTTCACCGAAGTGGTAAACGTCGGAGACCTGCATCACTTCGGGCTTTCCTCCAACATTAAGCTGACACGCCGCGATATAACTTGAATACTGTTAAAAGCGGCGTTAAACCCAACTCATTCATTCATTCACTCCTGTAGCAGGAAAACTCAATCTAATGATGTAGAGAAAGTACACACCGCATTGATGTATGATCAACTGAAAGTTCCTGCGATTTTATCGGATTTTGATACCAAGTTTATGGGCTCTATCTATTAAATGATACAAGAAAGTTATTTGGAAAAGTAAAGTTATTGATATTGTTATTGATATGGCTTGTCAACTGATGTCTTGAAAGACCATTAGTATGATTAGTGTTGGTGTTATCAATTTAATGACAGGAAATGCATCACAAATATAATTACCAGACATTTATCTGTGGTGTTGCCAATATTAGACTTTCGAGCTGGGAACTGACATAGAATTGATAAGGAGACTTGGTTACCTATGAAGAATTGGCCTTTACAAAGTTTGTGATGGGTTTAACTTGCCTGGTGATGAGGCGTTCATCCCTCCCACTCAGAGTGTTGTTGGGGGGCGGGGATGGCTCAGTTGTCGAGCCGTTGCAATTCGCTGCGCAGAAGCCGATTATTGTGGGGTTATTTCTTTGTTGTATATATTTGCCCTGATAATGATTCTTGGTTTGTCCCCACCATACCTGTGCTCATGGACTTCACCGAAGTGATAAATGTGTAAGACCTGCATCTCTTCAGGCTTTTCTCCCTCAGCAAGCTTTGACATAACTAAAACACTGCTCAAAGCATTACTCACTCACTCACTCACTCACTCACTCACTCACTCACTCACTCATGGCGACTTGAGGGAAGCTTATGACATGGTGTGTTGTCTTTTTGAAGTTTAACTATACTCACTCACTCACCCACCCAAATTCGCTCACGTAGTCACCCACCCACTCTCCCTCCCCCTCACTCACTCTCTCTCTCTCTCTCTCTCTCTCTCTCTCTCTCCCACTCACTCACTCACTCACTCACTCACTGTGCCTGTAGAGGAGAGAAAGTGTTTAACACAGAAAGTAGAGAGTTTGTGTGTATCCGCATCAATAATTTTGGCCGATGCAGAAATCAAACCCTATCGTTGGCATTTCACGACAACCATTAACCCTCTCTCAGAATGGAGAATATGGTGATTTTGAACACAAGAATCACTCTATACATGATAACACTGTTTCTTCCCAAATTCTTTCCTCAGATTGTAGATATCATCGACTCGGTTCCTGCTTGGTGAAGGACACTATTTAAGACTTGAGTTGTATATTTATTCGTCTAGTTTTAAATGTGGAACTTGTGGTTGTAGGAACTGTTGACGCGGACGTCGCTGGAGACTCACAAGTTGGATCTGATGGCGGAGATCTCCAGCCTCAAGATCAAGCTGGCAACAGCAGACAAGGACAGACGCGAGTTAGACGACCGACTCCGGTCTGCACAGGTCGGTGCCACTTCTGTGGAAATAAGAAACTAAATAAATGAACATGGTGTATACCCTGAAAAGAAGTCTTCAGGGAAAAAATGTATTTCTTCAAGCAGCCCCCCTGACATAAATTGGGGCGTTTTAACCGCTGGCCCATTGGCCTGTGGCCAGTTAAAATTATGAAAGGCTTGCTGAAACAAAGTAGATTCACCCCTTCCCTGTTTATGTTTTATTGTTTTAATTGGAAACTCCTTGTGAATCATGTAATTTGGATGCGAAAGTATTTAGGGGGGATGAGGTCGTGTGAATGGTTGGCTTAATGATCATCTCAGGAAGCATGACACAGCCGGGGGGGCCATTATGTAATGTTCTGTACAACAACAACTTTATTTGCTCTTAAATCACCATGAAATGAGGCACATGGAAGCCAAGATTTAATCTCAGAGTACAGGAAAGGACGTTTTAGGGCTGAGAAGTTCTAAAATTTTCAGAGACCCCTGGGTTACTCAGTACAGTAGTGGCCTCCACCATTTAGTTGTGGGCCAGTTAGTTTGGAGAAGGGCCAGTTACTTTAAAATAATGTTTTAATTTGACGTTTACACGATATAGTGCTTTTCGATTGGACGAGAGGTCGGTCACATGACCGCGAAATTGACGTTCATAAGTGTATGAACGACACAATTTGACGTTCATATATTTTTCACGAGACCATGTTCTTGAAATGACGTAAACACTGACGGACTACTTCCACATTCCTGGGGAAACCCCTGGGAACTCCCTAGCACGAAAACATACATAAGCATTATTTCTGATCATTTAGAACCTTTAATCTTGGTCTCAGCATTTCAGCAAGCTCCGACGTTCATACAGTTTGGCCCTCACTCTATGAAGGTTCATACTCCAATGAATTGACACAAAGTGAAGGTCAATTCTTAAAAGGAGAAAGCCCTGCTGGCTACATATGAATTTGTTGTTAAATCTACCCCTGACCCGTGCTTTTACTCTCTTGCAAGTATTAAATCGGGAGGTCATGTTGATAAAAAAGGACATCAGATTTGAAATAATGGTAAACTCCCCTTGGCGTGACATCGGGGGCACGGGTGGCCCAGTCGCCTAAGGCGCCGTGATTCGCTGTGCAGAGTTGCGTCCCATGGACATGCCAGAAACCTATGATTGTGGGTTCGAATCCCGGTTCGTCCTGATTATGTTTCTAGGTTTGTCAGCACCATACCCGTGCTCGTGGGTTTCACCGAAGTGATAAACGTCTGAGACCTGCATCACTTCGGGCTTTCCTCCCACATTAAGCTGACACGCCGCGATATAACTGGAATACTGTTAAAAACGGCGTTAAACACAACTCACTCACTCACTTGACGTGACATCCGAAGGTGGGAATTTGATAGGCCGATTTCCACCATACTAGAGGAGAATGAGGTTATGGTAATATTACAATAGAATGATATAGTAATCTGTGTTTTGCAGCACAATGTTTCACAAGACACCAATACACCATCGCCTTTCAGGGTTTTTCTTTTTTGTGCAAAATAATTAGACAGATTGTCAGTGAAATATTTCCATATTTTCACAGAGACAAATAACAGAACTGGAGGCCAAGAACACGATAAAAGAAGCGGAAATCTGCGACTTAAGATCACGGTTGGGGAAGAATGGCACAATTATCTCCCCTGAATCTGGAGGTATGTGATTAGACACAACTTGAACCCTAGCCTCCACTGAAGGAGATGTTTGTAAGATTTCAATTTTACCAGGCCTTAATTTGGGTATCTTAACAAGCCATGGCTGTTTTATGATCACATCAAAGTAACATGTCAAAAGAAAGGTCCTCAGGATACCTATTAGTTACAATGGCTGACTTGAAGTTTGTTTCATATATCTTACAATATTTGAAGATAGTGTTGAAGTGGAATTTCAGAAATAATGATAACTTGATGCCAGAGGATTATTTAATGCACAGGAAGACATTTTGTCTCGGGTTAAAGTAAAATCCTTTGTTTTATTGTAATCATATTTTGATTAAAAATGACAGCTAGTTAGTGCAGGATGTGCTGCGTTATGTTTGATTCAGATGTGCTGTGTTAATAACGTCATGCACGTTCAAGAATTAGTTGTAATAATGTTAGTATTGGTGTTTCTTGACAACTTTCTTTCATCGACTTTTGGGGTTTGTGTGGAATGGGGGGATCTTCATTCCAAAAAAAATGTTAATTTTTATTAAAGTTTTTATATTGTTCTATAATTGTGAAATGAAGTCAGAGCATGGCATGAAGCGAGCATTATTATTTATTTATTAATATTTGAATAATGACATGTTGTAGACTTGAATGTTGTGTTGTAATTTTGCATGTGTGTTGTGTGTAGATGCAGAAAATGTTTCCTAACATTTACAAAAGAAACAAACTTTCTAAGTCCACTCTTCAAGAATATCTTACAAAGGCTTAAGAAAATAAAAGAATTGGTTCTCAGGCAATGACTTTTGAAAATATAGTGCGGGTGGGCGGTATGTTTTTATTTATTTTTATTTTTTTATGTTCTAACTTGTATGAAACCAAATGAACAGTTGTGTACCATCAACCTGGGAAAGGGCCTCCCTACATGAACAACCATACAAACTCCTATTGCCGCCATAACCATGCATAACACGAGTTGCGTAGTAAAGCAGTGCACATGTAAGGGGAAGTAACTGTGTGGATCACATTATTTTTAGGTATTAGAATTTTTTTGATTTTTTGGGGGGGTGGGGGAATGGAAATAAGGATGAAACGTACGAGAAACTTTATGATGATGTGGGCGGTGCCTGAGAACCAAGACTTTTATTTAGTTTAGCCTAAATAATGGAAAATCTCATACTCTGTTTTATGTGTAACCAAATGTTACTAGCATTGTAAAAATGTGATTAATATAACCTGCAAGATGTTCAATAAATTCTTAGATGGTTTGAAATGCATTTTTCGGAAGTAATGCTTGTGCATGGAATGAATATTACGTTAAACGAATGTCATGTGGCATGCCAATTTTATCAGTTTAGGAGAAAAGTGAATTGACGGTAGAACATTCCAAAATGGCTGCTGCATCCACTCAATGCATCACTGCTTGAGCACGTAACGTACATGACCTTCACTTTTCAGGAGATGTCTCGAGAGATTCAGTTCGCGAGCGAACGTTAGATAGGCTAAAGCGAAAACGTAAGACCGTCTTGCGGTGTTCACCTGACACTAACATCCTCACACTCCTATAACCAGAGTTATCTCCCTTGACAATAGTCCTGCAGAAGCTGTAACGAGCTAGATTAGATTTGTTTGAAGGCTGGGACGCTGATTGGTGCATTTCCAAGCATGTTGTGTATTTGCAGGATTTGTGTGGCAGTATATTAATTTAGTGGAGCTGAAACATATCAGAAGCCAATTTGGAGTAGTGTTGCGGTGAATGTGTAAATTAGCCATGTTAAATGTGTTTAGTATTTCTTGAACTTTCTGTATCACCTGAGTAGTAGCTAGGAAACTAGTACAAGTAGCTAGGAAACTAGTACAAGTAGCTAGGAAACTAGTACAAGTAGTACAGACATATATTGTGTAGTAATTTAGAATTCTGCTTGTCTTATTTAATATATGTAGTTTAAAGTCTAGACGCGTTTCTATATCTTTAATTTTTTATCACTTGTACCTGTCAAAGATTCATTTTTACAGTTACCTTTTGTTTCTTTTGCACAGCAGGATTAATCATTCCTTCCTTGAATATTTCACTCCGACATTTCTACTCACCCCTTTGTTTCACTTGCTCTCATCCATCGTCCATCCTTGGAGCAGTCCATTCTGTGGTGGGAGGGGACATAGCACCTGCTTTGTGTTTACTAGCATTGATTTTGTTTGCTTCTCTTAATATAGCAGCTTGAATGTAATTTCTTAAACATTATTAGGATATAAATTGATATTATTTTATTTTTTTTAAAGTTCAAGCACTGCTTAATGTGTACATCACAATTGTATTATGTAGAATAAGTTATGTTTATGTATGATTTTATGTTCTTCACAAATGAGTTTATTATTTTTTTGTTTGAGCTCAGCGTGTCTCAGACCAGTTGAGATCTCGACATTTGAATAACCTGGTAAATGTCATCGTTATTTCAATCCTCTGAGATTTCATATTTTTTTCTCCTCCTCTTAAACTAGTGCTCCAAACAGGAGATCGTGTCAGATGAGTTTTCAAATCTAGCAGCATTGAAGTTTTTAAGGTTCAGGACTAGTGAGTGAGGCTTTTGGAACATATCTGATGTCTGTATCTCCAAAAAGGAATGAAAACAGGCAGTTCCAAATGGAAAATAAAAATTCTTTTTCTTCAGAATTAAAAATCCAAATCTTAGACACAGGTGGTAAAGAAATTAATCTAGTCCAAAATGTGCCTTCCAACAGATCATATTGACAAAGTTAGAATATAGTGAAGAGAAATTGTTTTTAGTGAGATTGACTCTTCAAAGAAACTGCTATTTAACAGAGATGATCCTCCCAATGACCACTGACAAGTTGCCTCAAAATAATTCTGATCCACTTTTCAAGATATATACATTTCATTTTTTGACCTGTGATCATAATACAATGTATAAACTTCTGAAAAACTTAATTATTTTTCAAACTTAGAAAATAAATTAGTCGATTAAGTTATCTTGTAATACATAAAATGAAGCTACTTGGAGTATCATCTGTTTCCCCAGGGCTTGCGTTTCAGTGAACTACACTAAAACATGGATCCATTGGCAAGGTTTTTGCGGTCTTGAATTACCTGCCCTTGATTTTCATTAACATTCTACCGACCAATCAAACATCAAGATAAAGGAGGGTAAGGGAGGTAACTCGTATTGCCTAGAAACCAAAGTCACCATCAGTTTTAATGGATTTACAGATTTTTTAGTTCTTTCTTTTGTGTTTTTCAATGTTGAAATTCTCGCAAACTCTATTGTCATCAAAGGGACTGACCACCAACCCAATGTGGAGGCTGATTTGTAACTTGGAATTCTGATTAGTACATTAGACTTATGAGCATAGCCAATCAAATTGGCTAAAGGAAATCAAGGGCGGGTAATTTGAGATTACAAGAAGCACAGGAATTGATCCAGGGCCCACTTGCACAAAGCGATCTTAGCGCTAAGACTATCGTAAGCCTATGCTAAAGTATGGGAGTTACGATCATCTTAGCGCTAAGATCGCTTTGAGCAAGTGGGCCCAGGTGCGATGTAGTTTCCCGAAATGCACGCCCGGGAGATAGAGGATGCACCTGCAGCATAATGTCCTCCTTTAAGTCATGCAACAACAAATTTGTAAACAGCATATATACTACTCAAAATAAGTTAAGACCCGCATGCCATGACAGATGAACTATAGTAATATGAAAGAATCAGGTTATCCTTAACTTCTCTTAAGTGGTATTGTAATGTTTGATATCAGTTTTGCCTGTGAGGTCATATTCTCAACAATCTGAGCTTAATTGCGTGAAGGGTCTTATCTAGACCTGTCCAGGGTTCTATAACTGCCCCCAAGTATGCAGCAAATGTCTGTTTTAACTCCAAAATTGGAATCAATATATTTCAAATTCTTGCAATTTTAGTAATAACTGATGTCAAAGCTTTATAGAGGTGACTTTTATTTCAGTGATATAATTTCCCTGCAATGTTAGGATGCAATGTTAAAGCACAATTTAAAGAAAATAGAATTGTTTTACAATTCCAACAGTGAACAAAATAATGGTAATCGCCCTCTTCTCCACTCCCCTCCCTTTTTTTCTCTGCCAAGTTTTGAATCCTTGATAAATCTGTGACTTTGCATGTTAAATGAGAAATCTGAGTCGTAACATATGCCAACTGTATGCTTGGTCAAGGAACACCAGTTGAGCACATTTCCCACAGGAATAAATTTGATACTTTTTCGTGTATTTCACCTGATTATTCTAGGAGAGGCAGTGATCCTGAAACGTCTAGGAACAATCCGAGAATCGAAGCTATGGGTTTAAATATCCCCGGAATAATCAATCGCTGATGTATTTCAGAAACCGAAGTTGAAAAGCTGAAGAAGGCCGTGGACTCGCTCATGATAGCCAATGATGACAAGGTATGGTGAAATGTTGATAGCTTGTTCTGTGATTGGCAGCGTTAGAAATTGGCACTAGTCCTGAGTCCTTGACAAACTGCCCAATAGTTAAGGTGTCATAAGGACTAGTAGAAATTTACCCTTTGTAAGGGTTTTGCTATATGTTAGTGTACTAAAACTGTTAGTTTCTACCGCTGTTCGGGGTCATAATTGATGTTGAGTAAACTCTTAAGACCCAAAACAACTATCTATCATCCTGTTTCCATGATTCTATCCGGGTTAGAATTGGTCTTCAGCAACCTATGCTTGTCCCCTGTGAACATCCGGGTTAGAATTGGTCTTCAGCAATCCATGCTTGTTCCCCTGTGAAGATCCGGGTTATAATAGGACTTCAGCGAACCATGCTTGTTCCTTGTGAAGATCCGGGTTAGAATAGGACTTCAGCAACCCATGCTTTTCCCTTGTGAAGATCTGGGTTAGAATAGGTCTTCAGCGAACCATGCTTTTCCCTTGTGAAGATCCGGGTTAGAATAGGACTTCAGCGAACCATGCTTGTTCCTTGTGAAGATCCGGGTTAGAATAGGTCTTCAGCAACCCATGATTTTCCCTTGTGAAGATCCGGGTTAGAATAGGACTTCAGCGAACCATGCTTGTTCCTTGTGAAGATCCGGGTTAGAATAGGTCTTCAGCGAACCATGCTTTTCCCTTGTGAAGATCCGGGTTAGAATAGGACTTCAGCGAACCATGCTTGTTCCTTGTGAAGATCCGGGTTAGAATAGGTCTTCAGCAACCCATGATTTTCCCTTGTGAAGATCCTGGTTAGAATAGGACTTCAGCGAACCATGCTTGTTCCTTGTGAAGATCCGGGTTAGAATAGGTCTTCAGCGAACCATGCTTTTCCCTTGTGAAGATCCGGGTTAGAATAGGACTTCAGCGAACCATGCTTGTTCCTTGTGAAGATCCGGGTTAGAACCATGCTTGTCATAAGAGGCGACAGCTTGATTAGTGCTGAGTGCGGCTTTAAGAAACAAAGACCATAACGTTGCTATGATTGACTGTTGCAGGATCGAAAACTGGATGATATGAAGCGACTACTGAAACGATATCGGCGTGTGGAAGAATTACTTGTTCAAGCACAAGGTCGCAAAGGTGAATTCTTAAACTCACAAGCTCACGAGAGAATGTTTCAATAAATCTTACGTCATGAAGTTCAGGTGAAGGAAACATCCTCGATACAGAGAAAGTGTTGAGTGAAAGTGTTGAGTGAAAGTGTTGAGTGAAAGTGTTGAGTGAAAGAGTTGAGTGAAAGTGTTGAGTGAAAGTGTTGAGTGAAAGTGGAGTGAAAGTGTTGAGTGAAAGTGTGGGGAATTGTTTGTTCTCGGCACATCCTCATTGAAACATTTTCTTTCTACTTTTTACCTCAGCATGATACTTTTGAATTCAAGCAGATGCTTATCATGTTTCTTTCATGACAGCGGCGGTCGGGTAGCCTAGTGGTTAAAGCGTTCACTCGTCACGGGTTCGATTCCCGACATGGGTAAAATGTGTGGAGCCCATTTCTGGTGTCCCCCACTATGATATTGCTGGACTATTGCTAAAAGCGGTGTAAAACAATACTCACTCACTCACTCACTCACTCACTCATGACAACCAGGCAGTATACTCACCACCAAAAGAAATGCAAACCATAGAGACAGAGAGAAGTATGTACGTTAAGAAGAGATGTTTCCAATGTGTACCAATTGATGACAAAACTAACAATCAGTCAAGTGTAAACACAGTGTCTTAATTCTTATCACGATATGCTGAACGTGATTTCCAAACTTCACACGCTTATCCTGCATGAGACAAATGGTGCATCTCGAGTCATTGATCTGTGACGTCACATGTGATAGGACATGAGCATCGGTTCACACAACACATCTTTATGTTCGTTTGTGCATGGAACCAATCAAATATCTCTTGAATATGAGTGAGTCTTCACCTATTAACCATTCACGTTTCTTTTGGCGGCGAGTATACTATTTTTCAGCTTCAGACACAAATTCCTTGTTAAATATTTTCTCTGACAGTTGTGTTTTTGTTGTTGCAGCGGTAGATGAGCTCCTTATAAACGAAGATGACACCAGTTCCACCAGCTCGTCCACAACGCCCTCTGTAGGGGACGCCATCCGAGAAAACTCGCATGTAAGGGGACACAACTCTCTACAGAGACTCAATGTGGTTCACATTGATACATAAAGATTGCCTCACTTTATGAACAGGACTGTTAATGTGGTGCAAACATGGAAGCAAAAATACCTGCTTACGTTTCATCAGATCAGACATCTATAAACATTAATCATTCTACTGTTGTGAAAACGTTAGCCCCTCATATCAACTGCCAATGAAATCAGTTATAGGAAACCAATAATGTCCAGCATCTTAAGATGCTGAAAGGCATGTTAAAGAAACTTGGTAGATTTAAATATGACCTTGGAATTTATCTCGACCTACTCCGAGGCCGATATTCAGTCTGCAGTAAATGACAGTAAAAATTCCCACTTTAAATATGAAATATCCTAATTACTCTAAATTTATCAAAATAATTACTCAAAAATGAGAACATTGAAAGAATCCAATATGGAACAATATCAGAATTTTTCCCGAATAGACTGACACTTCGTTTGGTATCCTTGATAAATCTCTGCCATGTGACATTGTGCCATCATTTAAAATTTTTGACACGAGCAATACATGATGGCATCACACCCGTGAAGATCCGGGTTAGAATTGGTCTTTAGCAACCCATGCTTGTCATAAAAGGCAACTAACGGAATCGGGTGGTCAGGCTCACTGACTTGGTTGGTGCATGTCATTGTATCCCAATTGTGTGGATCAATGCTCATGATGTCAATCACTGGATTGTCTGGGCCAGACTGGATTATTTACAGACTGCCATCATATAGCTGCAATTTTGAAGAAACAAATAAACATCATAGCATCAATCAAGCAGCAAGATGCGGGTGAGCTCACCACATACATCAATAAGAGAAAAGGATTTGCTCTGAGTTCATCGAGGAGGTCTATGGAGGGTTTCGTCCTTAAGAAGCTAGCTGGTCGTAAGAGGTGACCAAATGGAGAAGGTGGTCAGACTCAATGAATTGGTACATTGAGTGTCATGGTACCGTGACGGCGTGGATTGTTGATCATATAAACCTCGGGATAGTCTGGTCCAGACTTGATTATTCACAGACCATGTCATAAGGCTGGAATATAGTGCAGCATTAAACAGCGAAGAATTAGGTCTTGACGGAGGCAGGAGCCTTGAGTACAAGATGATGTGGAGTATTAAGGGATAACAAATAAAATAACAGGTGTAGGAACATGTATATACTACTCAAAAGAAGTTCAAGAACACCTGATTTTTTCACATGACTATAGTTAATCTCTCATGCTCTGACACATTGACTATGGCCATATGAAAAAATCTGTTCTTTTACTTCTATGTAGAGAAATGCAACATTTGCATATATACAGAATTACAGCTGTGTACCTTTCTGCTATTTGTTTCAGTATGAGTACAACGACAGCCGCCACTACCTCGCATCCCCCAGCGCAACCAGCACACCAGGTAAGCACAGCCTCGTCATGAAGGAGGGAGATTGTATGCTCAGCCGCTGTCAGCAATACACAGTAAACTATGGTTATAACGAGCTCAAAGGGAGACAATCATGGGTGAACAGTGTTTCAAACAGTGTTAATTTTGATGCTGATGCTGATGTTGTTTCAATTGTTGATGTTGTTGCAGTTCATGCGGGAGACCGAATTGGACCGAACCACTACGGAACACCCACTCTACCGCCTAACACACGAGAAGCCCTCGGCATGACACGGTCCAACAGTTGTGAAAACGTGGCCCCAGCACAGCAGAAAGTTAGTACATGTATTGTACTGCTAAATCATAGCGGGGATCTGGGTTAGACTTGGTCTCCAGCAGCCTATGCTTACGATAAGAGGCGACTTACTGTACTATGAAACTCGTGAAGATCCAGGTTAGAATACGTCTTCAGCAACCTATGCTTGGTGTTAAAGAAGATTTTGCTTGTCATAAGAGGCAACTAACGGGATCAGGTGGTCATGCTGGTTGATGCATGTCACAGTATCCCAGTTGCATGGATTGATGCTCATGATATCCATCACTTTACTCTCTGATGCAGACTCAATTATTTACAGACCGCTGTCATATAGCTGAGTGTTGCGTTAAACAACAAACAAACAAACAAACACAGGACTAGGCGGTCAGGCTGCGTGACTTGGTTGAGTGCATGTTATTACCTTGACAGCATGGGATGTTGATCATAATTATGATCACTGAATTGTCTGGTCGAGACTCTATTATTTACAGGCGGCTGTCATACAGCCAAAATATTGCCGAGAAGCGTTTAACAACAAACAAACAGCCATACTTTGCACCTGAAATCTCGCTCAATGAATCCATCTTTCGTCACAAAATCCTCATGAGTGTTGTCATTGTTTCAGACCCCGTCCACAAGTAAGAAGAAGGGCGGAGCTACTGACACAGTCGGTTACGGTACGTTGCCTAAAGAGCGTTTTAGGGAACAGGAAGTCAAAGAGCCCAAGCGCAATCGAGGCTTCCCCATGTTTGGGAAAACTCTAATGCGAGTCCGATCAGGAAAGCGGAGCTGCTCTGCGCCCAACTTAGGTGACACCATGCTTCAGTATCCGCATGTGCATCCATCCTTGCACCTGCAGCATGGCCAGCCAATCAGGACCCTCCATTGACAGATCTGACCAATCACTGAACAGCATGTTTTTTGTCAATCTTAACACACTGTGCCAGTTAGGTCCATTTAAATAATTCGTCTTTTACCCTATGTCACCTTTGTAAATGAATATATTTGTATTATTGTACATACACATTGTTCACTTATCAAAAGCAGTATCTTATTTTGAAATCTTTCTTCCACATTCAGCAAATATTCACAAATTTACTGATTTTCAAAATCACCCTTCATTTAGACCTATTCAATGATAGCTATAGGACCAATCGACTGAAAGACCATTGATGATTCTGACCAATCAGTAATAACTATGCTTAGCCATTGACCAATCAGCAGTGTTTCCTAAGACATTGATGATTCCGTCCAATCAGTAATCAGTTTGCATAGCTGTGGACCAATCAGCATTGTTTCAAACTGAGGTGTGCCTTCCTATGGACCAATAAGCTCTGCTCAGTGGTAGAACCGACAAATCATTGTCCTGCATGGTGTGTATTGAATAGTCATCTAACCCGTGTGATACAGATAGTTGTAGACAAGTAATACCCCGATATGCACAGCCCCCACTCATAATGTCCCAAAAGATGTTTGAATTAGAACCGTTAGCGTCACAGCCGATGCTTCCTAGCGCCAAGTGCAGTGAGCGCTCCTCGTCCAAAAATCTGTTCAAGACCTGTCCATGTATTAATCAATTCTGTTTATTTTCTAAATTAATGTGTTTTTATATTCCCTTTATCTATACTGTTGATACTACCTGGAATTGTTCGATAGGCATTTCCTAGAAGTTGACAGATGACAAAGTAGACAAACGTTTATGGATAACAGCTTCTCTATTATAGTGATATAGCGACATCGTATCTTCATACCGTTATCATGCAAGACTATAACAAGATAATAAAAAAGCTGTTATCCATAAAAGAATTTGTCTACTGCTTCTGACTTGAAGTCTTCCATTGCTGACTTAATCCCAAATGTATTGCGTGTTGCCTTGATAATAACTAAAAGCTGTTTGATACCAACATTGTCTTAACATAAAATCTGGTTACAATTAGTTAGATAACAACATTTTTGTGCTAACTACGTTTGAGGCATATTCGAAATCAGTACCACATTCGTATATGCATTTTGAAATATTTACACACGTCTTATCCTTCAACCATATTACACAGCAATTGGCATGCATAAATATATTTATCAGCACAGAAACTTGTATCTAATCATAAATACGTGCTACCTTTGATATACCAATTAATATAAGATATTATCACTCATTTTTTGGGCAGACGGGTTACCCAATCGTCAAGAATGCTACAATTCACTGAGCAGACGGTTCGCCCTGATTATGTTTCTAGGTTTGTCAGCACCATACCCGTGCTCATTGGTTTCACCGAAGTGGTAAATGTCTGAGACCTGCATCACTTCAGGCTTTCCTCCCACATTAAGCTGACACGCTGTGATATAACTGGAATACTGTTAAAAGCGGCATTAAACACAACTCACTCACTCACTGTGCAGAGTTGGTGGGGTGTTATGTGTTTTTATCACAGTTTTTCCTAATATGTTTCAAGGTTTGTCAGCACCATACCTGTGCTTGTGGGCTTCACCAAATTGGTAAACGTTTGGGATCTGTATCACTTTAGGCTTTCCTCCCACATTAAGCTGACACGCCGTATTAAAACTAAAATACTGTTGAAAGCAGCGTTACACCAACTCAGTCACTCAGTCATGTTTCACATAATCTTGAATAGTGTCAATCCTGATTGTATTTGACCCATGATGGTACCAATTAGATAACACAAGGTCTTCAGCAACCCATTCTTGCCGTAAGAGGCGACTATGCTTGTCGTAACAGGCGACTAGCGGAATCGGGTGGTCAGACTCGCTGACTTAGTTGATACATGTCATCGTATCCCAATAGCGTGGATGGATGTCATCCATGATTTTCTGGTCCAGACTTGTTTATATACAGACCGCCGTCATATAGCTGGAATATTGCTGAGTGTGGCGTTAACAGGAAACAAACAAACAAACACAAGGTTGGGGATTGGGTGCTGAGTATCATGAGTCCTTGGACGACTGATGTCCGCCCGTACAGACCCACTTGTGATTAGCCTAGTGGTTAAAGTGGTCGCTCGTTACGTCCAAAGTTTTGATTCCCCACATGGTTGCGATGTGTGAAGCCCATTCCTGGTGTCCCCAGTTGTGGAGAAATGTGTGTATACAAACCTGTGAAGAATAGCCTATGCTGCAGTGGTACTTATATAGTCTCACCAAGCTTCACTTTGTCACCCACAAAGACGGTAAGTCAAGTCCAGCACACTAGGATACCCGTGAAGATTCCGGGGTAGAATAGGTCTTCAGCCACCATGCTTGCCGTAAAAGGTGACTATGATTGTCATAAAAGGCGACTAACGGGATCGGGTTGTCAGGCTCGCTGTCTTGGTTGATGCATGTCATCGATCCCAATTGCGTGGATCGATGCTCATGATATTAATCACTGGTTTGTCTGGTCCGGACTCGATTATTTACAGACTGCGTCATATAGCTGGAATATTGCTGAGTGCGGCATTAAACAACAAACCAACCAACCAACCAACCAGCACACTAAGAAAGACACGGTAGATGAAAGGTGGGTTATTTAACAATGGGGAACACAAGTTAACGTTGCCGCAAAGGGTGATATGTAAATGCTGTGTTAAGCGTTGTAGAACGAGGTTGCATGTTTGCAGCTCACACTGAAGTTGTCACAGACGATGAAGATGGCCTTCAGCATCTCGGACACGGAGGCAACATGGCCCACGACAAGAAGAAGAGAGGCCTTCGGAGGTTGTTTGGAAAGTGAGTAAGATTGAAACTTGTTGTAGGACAACAGTATCAAACTGTGCTGACTGACGTTTGGAAAGTGAGGAAGATTGAAACTTGTTGTATGACAACAGTATCGCACCGTGCTGACTGACGTTGTTTGGAAAGTGAGTAAGATTGAAACTTGTATGACAACAGTATTGAACATTGCTGACTGACGTTGTTTGGAAAGTGATGAAGATTGAAACTTGTTGTATGACAACAGTATTGAACCGTGCTGACTGACGTTCTTTGGAAAGTGAGGAAGATTGAAACTTGTTGTATCACAACAGTATCGCACCGTGCTGACTGACGTTGTTTGGAAAGTGAGGAAGATTGAAACTTAAAGTTTGACAAGAGCATCGAATTGTGCTGACTTGAGTTGCATGGCTGTTCTGTTTTATAACCCATGCTGCTCATTTTTTCCCCAGATTAAAACGAAGCAGTTCTCAGGACTTTGACGGTGACAGGGATGGGGAGTTCCGACGAGGGGGAGTGCGAGCTACCGCCACAGCCAGGCTCGGCTGGTCTAAAGACCTCAAGGGAACGACGTAAGTGACAGCAGCCTCCATGGGCTCAGTTCTCCCGTCACTCTCCATGTCTTCACCTTTCTTTCTGTTCTGTCCATTTTAATATTCTTCAAATTTCGTATACAGGTAAAATTTAAAAAAATTAAAGCTTGCCGAATTAAGTAAATATCCTATTGGGCAGTGGGTAAGCCATTTGCTAGTCATGCTCAATATCTAGGTTCAATTCCCTACACGGACACAAGATGGGAAGTCCATTTATATTTCTGGAATGTTGTTAGCTTGTTGTTTAATGCTATGCTCAGCAATATTCAAGCAATATGATGGCAATCAGCCATGTCGCCGACCTTGACATTGATCTTGACCTAAGGTCTAGAATGTTGCTTAAACCATACTCACTCACCTATTCTTAAATAAGATCAATATCTATTTCAGTGCTACTCTTATACCAAAGCATACAATAATGTTGTTTTTGTGTTTTTTCCATTCCGGATATCAGAAATAAACGTGTGTTACAGAGATCTGGACATCCCGTTTGCCCGCTGGGATGGCGACCGTGTCACTGCATGGATGAACGACATCGGACTTAACATGTACGTGGTGGACTGCAAGCGCTGGGTGCGCAACGGAGAACAGTTGCTACGTGCATCAACGCAGGACCTTGAAAAGGTTGGTCTAGACAGGGGAAATAACCAAAGCAGGAACTTGGTGGAGAAATATTACGTTGCGTGACAGCCATTTGGTTGTCATGTATAGATGAAAAAAAGCATTCAGTAACTCTAATGGTGCTGCATTTATACCATTGTTCATTTTGAACATGCAGGACATGATGTAGACATATCGATAAGGGGAGATAACCAGTGTCATGACAACTTAGACTGCTCATGTTATACAACTTTTATGCCTGTCATTTGATAATTACTACATGGAAATCATCTATATAATCTCTATGTATGTGTTCGAACGACAATCTGGTTGATGAACATTCATTCAACAAATGAGTTGTTTTGTCTCATTCTATGACTTACTGAAACAAGAATCTTTGAGTCAATATATGTGTGTATGTGTGTGTGTGTGTCTCACTAGGCATGAGGGGCGGTCGGGTAGCCTAGTCGTTAAAGCATTCGCTCGAAGATTTGGTTTCGATTCCGACATGGGTACAATGTGTGAAGCCCATTTCTGGTGTCCCCCTCCGTGATATTGCTGGAATATTGCTAAAAGAGGCGTAAAACCCTACTCACTCATTCACGAGGCGGGGGCACAGGTGGCCCAGTCGTCTAAGGCGCCGCGCTTCGCTGTGCAGAGTTGCGTCCCTTGGGCATGCCAGAAACCTATGATTGTGGGTTTGAATCCCGGTTCGCCCCAATTATGTTTCTAGGTTTGTCAGCACCATACCCGTGCTCGTGGGTTTCACCGAAGTGGTAAACGTCTGAGACCTGCATCACTTCGGGCTTTCCTCCCACATTAAGCTGACACGCCGCGATATAACTGGAATATTGTTAAAAGCGGCGTTAAACCCAACTCACTCACTCACTCACGAGGCATGAAGCCATGTTGTATTAATGTGTTTTTCAGGAGATGGGGATGAAGAATTGCCTTCATCGGAAGAAGTTGCAGTTGGCCTTACAGGCAATTGGCTCCGAGACGACGGAGAAGCTTGGAGAACTGGATCACAACTGGGTGGCACGTAAGTCAAAAACTTTCCCAGTTCACCAGGGGTTCCAAGGCACTTAAAAAAGAAGTCCGAGCGTTGATTCCGGAAAAATCTCAAATGTTATGAGCAGTTAGTGACATATGTTGTTGACAATGATTACAGGACCAAGTTACAAGTTCTATTGTTATTGTTAGTATTGCTAGTATTATTAGTATTATACATTTATATACGCGACCGCCTCCGTGGTCTAGTGGTAGAGCATCCGCCCGGAGAGCGGAAGTTCCGGTGTTCGATCCTCGGCCGCGTCATACCTAAAGACGTTAAAAGATGGTACTTGTTGTTACCCTGTCTGGCACACAGCATTAAGGGGCTAAAACAAGGACTGATCGACTCGGAAGTCAGTATACTGTGTCTGAGTGGGGTATTCATGTTTAACTGCTGCATGGTATCTCAGTGTGCTAGCACTATAAATCGGCATCAGTCAGGACTAGTACAAGCAGAGACACACACACCCACACACACACACACACACACACACACACACACACACACACACACACACACACACACACACACACACACACACACACACGTGCATACACATCGCTCTATAAGTGCAATAAACCCAATTTCACCTCACCTACATTTATATATGGCACTTTTCCAGATACTATTATCATGTTCCAAGTCCAGCTGGTCTGTATGCATTCCAGTTATCATTCTCCACTCCCTGGGGAGTATACAACCCTCACATAACGGGTACACATTCCCTGCTGGGTGAACAGAGGCATGTCTGAACTAAGTCACCTTGTCCCGGGTGACACCATACTTCTAAATGTTGACTGACATGTTGATGTATTTGTTTGTAGAGATGACGTGGGGCTGCTTGTCAGTTTGTAAGCTTTTTGTTCCTGGTTTCAGGCTGGCTGGATGACATCGGTCTGCCGCAATACAAGGATTCGTTCTACGATGCCCGGGTGGACGGCAGGATGCTTCACTACATGACAGTGGTGAGTGGACACATTCTCCTTCCTGGGGATGCTGAACTGAATAGCTTCCCACTACTCCAGTCTTGTCACAGTTGGTTGGGCTTGGGATGGCTGGGAGACCTGGTTGGGAGGGCTGGGAGACCTGGTTGGGAGGGCTGGGAGAGCTGGGAGACCTGGTTGGTTGGGCTGGGAGACCTGGTTGGGAGGGCTGGGAGACCTGGTTGGTTGGGCTGGGAGACATGGTTGGTTGGGCTGGGAGACATGGTTGGGCTGGGAGACATGGTTGGTTGGGCTGGGAGATCTGGTTGGGAGGGCTGGGAGACATGGTTGGGAGGGCTGGGAGACATGGTTGGTTGGGCTGGGAGACATGGTTGGGAGAGCTGGGAGACATGGTTGGTTGGGCTGGGAGACATGGTTGGGCTGGGAGACATTGTTGGGCACGGAGACATGGTTGGTTGGGCTGGGAGACATGGTTGGTTGGGCTGGGAGACATGGTTGGTTGGGCTGGGAGACATGAATGGTTGGGCTGGGAGACTTGGTTGGGCTGTGATGTCCTCCCCACTGAGATACCAACACTAACTTGGCTTCCATGCTTGTGGTGAAGGATCAAATGGTTACCGTGGGAGACCTGGATAGTTGTTTCCTTTTAGAAAGTCTATATTTATCTCCCATCTGTATTGTCTCCTTCCCGCTGCAGGAGGATCTATTAGCCCTGCGGGTGAGCAACGAGCTGCACCATATCAGCATCAAGCGGGGCATTCAGGTGCTGAGGATCAACGGGTTCAACCAGCAGTGCCTCAAACGCCGCCCATCAGCTCAAGAGGTGGGTTGGACAGTCCTGGAAGTTTATCATGTTGATTTAATTATCTAGAAGGACTTGAGTTGGTATTTCATATAAAAAAAATATATATTTTTCAATTCTTTTAACATTGTTGGGTTGACAACTAATTTCTGTCTTTTAATTGATAACCAAAGTAAAGAGTGTTCCTAATGAAATGGTTGTTTTTTATATTGGCAGTAATGGTTCTGGTATTGGCAGTGATAGGTTTGTCATTTCAACTAGTCCCTGTATGTTTTCATTTGCCGTGGACCAACAGACTAGTGCCTAGGTCTCGCCATCGATGGTTGGGATATGTTTGGTTTGTGTACGGCCAGGAATGGAGGCTTCACTACTGGTTGTGATGGTCATGCTCTTGGTTGAATGGTTGTGGTATGGGATGGTTGTGATATTTGTGATATTGGTTGTGACGGTTGTGATATTGGTTGTGTGTATATCCAGGGTCACCTGATGAACATCGCTGGAGAGGTTGCTCTCTGGACCAACCACCGGGTGATGGAGTGGCTGCGCACCATCGACCTGTCGGAGTACGCTCCCAACATGCGGGGCAGTGCCGTTCACGGGGCAATCATGGTGAGTAGGTGTCTTCAACCAATAATTGAAGAGACAACATTTTTATCTACATATCTACATGCCTTTCTTGTGTAATCCTTCTTTGATGTCACATATATACTTCTTTTTCTTTGTTTGTTTAGTGCTGCAGATAGCAATATTCCAATAGTAATTGAATTTGGACCAGATAATCTAGTGATTGATATTATGAGCAACAAGACCCTTTAGGGTACAATGCGGTTCGCCCTGATTATGTTTCTAGGTTTGTCAGCACCATACCCGTGCTCGTGGGTTTCACCGAAGTGGTAAACGTCTGAGACCTGCATCACTTCGGGCTTTCCTCCAACATTAAGCTGACACGCCGCGATATAACTGGAATACTGTTAAAAGCGGCGTTAAACCAAACTCACTCACTCACTCAATTAGGGTACAATGACACGGAATCAGCAAAGTCACTGAGTCTGACCTCCTGATTAATTTGGTCGCCTGTTACAACCAACATATAGTGCTGGAGAGAGTTTTATCCTGGAATCATGGATTTATTGTTTTAGAGGGGTGGTCGGGGAGCCCCGTGGTTAAAGCGTTCGTGCGTTACGCTGAAGACCGGCTTCGATTCCCAACATGGGTACAATGTGTGAAGCCTATTTCTGGTGTCCCCCGCTGTGATATTGCTGAAATATTGCTAAAAGCTGCGTTAAACCATACTCACTCACTCAATGGAAGTGTTAGGACAAGGAACCCTTGCCATGAATTCAACACTTCATTAAATGAAGGATCACCCACCTCATGGACTAGTTCTGACAATGCTCATCTACACACACCGTAGTTGTAGTCAAGTAATGGTGCATCTTCTGACGCTGTAGGTGCTGGAGCCGCGCTTCAATGCAGAACTGTTTGCCCAGCTGCTGTCCATCCCCACCAGCAAGACCCTCCTGCGACGGCACCTCAACACTCACTTCGTCAGTCTGATCGGTCCCGAGGTGCAGCAGAAGAAGAGGGAGTTTGAGGCGTCAACTGGCTATATTACACTGATGCCCAGCAACAAGATCAAGGTATGTTCAAACTAAACATTACACATTACAATTTTACGTGCAGAGTTGCATCCCTTTGTAGTGCCAGAATCTGCTAATCATAGTTTCGACTACCAGATAATCCTTAACTTGATCTTTCTAAACTACTGGGTTTCAACCAATGTAGTGAACATCTAAGACTGCAGGCTTTGTTTTGTTTTTTTCAGAAGGGAAAGTTTGGTATATTTGGCCACAAGCGGAGCAAGTCGGAGACGGAAGCTGATGGCTTCATCTGTCCCATGGACATTTCCTCTCCGGTAGACAAAGACAGGCTCCGCAACGGCACAACCAACGGAACACACGATGTAAGTCCACGCTCCCTTCAGTCCCAAAAATTAAAAAAATGTGTAAATTAGGCTACCAAATTTTGTACACAATTTCAATTTTTGTTTACGAAATTCTGCAAACTTTTAAGCATTGTTTTCATGAATTTCGTAGTTTCTGCCTGTTGTGGCAGGCATTTTGGTGCTAAAAGTATTAATGGCTAGTATAGCTTATTAAAGTGAATCTGGAGATCACTTGTGTAAACATAGAGACATGCACTTTTAGTAAGCAATGAAACAAAAGTCAACTATATTCAAAACGAAATAAATATCTGTTTATATGTTATAACCAGCTTTCGACACACGTTACAATTCAACTGTGTATTTGACGAATTCTGTAGCAGATAAATGCTAAAGTCTGCATGGGTTCTGTATAGAGTGGACATTTCTGCAAATTATTTCGCGACTACAGAATACAGCGAGGACTGTCACTTAGTCAGAAGTAGAAGGTCAGAATTAAGCACTGCTGTAGGGCAAAGGTGGTCTGTTGGTGGCAGAAGGGAGTTAGAGAGGTGCATGGATCGTTGTTCACGATAGAAATCAATGGATTGTCTGGAGCAACACACAACTATTTACAGACCTGAGTGCGGTGTTCAAGAAACAAACCCATTCTAGGCTAACATGACACTCAGTTTTAAACAATAGGTATTTAAGCTTGAAAGGACCTGGTCAGATTTTGATCATATGTGAGGCTTTAGCATTCTTTGTATTTTCGTGCCATTAACACATCAAAATAAAAAATGGCAAGGTTAAGATAAGATCTAACTGTCCGAAGGAGGCACTTAGAAATCATGTTTTAATTCCTACAAATTGGCCATGAAAAGACTATTATCCACATGACTGATTATGAATAGCTGACTGTGAAGAGGACTTAATTCTGTTGAATTTTTTTTTTTTTTAAATTGAGACTGATGACAGCCAAAATACAGGATTATGGCAATAATGTAATAGAAGTAGTGTTCTTAGAATTATTAGCAATGATATCTATTGTTTGATATTTGTGTCTGCATGTGTATCAATCTGTGTCCTCGTCTTTCAGCCTAAGACTGAGAAAGCTGTCAAAGAAATAGGTGCTTTCTCCAAGGAAATAAACTCTCTCACAGTAAGTGTTTCAGGCGTGGATTGTAGATTGAATCGCCTGATTGTAGATTGAATCGCCTGATTGTGGATGTATGGGTGCACCATCCCCGTCCTCGTGGGTATGTCAGCACCATCCCTGTTGTCATGGGTTTCACCGAAGTGGTAAAGATCGGTATTAGTTTAGCTTGCGATTCGCTGTGCAGAGTTGTGTTCCTTGGGTACGCCAGAAACCTATGATTGTGGGTTCGAATCCCGGTTTGCCCCGATTATGTTTCTAGGTTTGTCAGCACCATACCCGTGCTCGTGGGTTTCACCGAAGTGGTAAACGTGTGAGACCTACATCACTTTGGGCTTTCCTCCCACATTAAGCTGACACGCCGCGATATAACTGGAATACTGTTAAAAACGGCGTTAAACCCAACTCACTCACTCACTCACCCTATTATTTAAGTATGGATTTCCTTGGTATGAAGACACTAACGACATTCTTCCACTTGTAACAGTATACATGCAGTTCCATTTATTGTATTCATGTATCACTATTGTATAAAGGCCCGGTGGCCCCTTCACTGGGAATAAACAAACTCAAGCTTTAGGGTCTTCACCCACATTAAGCTGACACTGTGATATAACTTAATTACTTCTCATACAGCATTAAACCAAACTCCCTCAAAGCAGTGTTAAACTGGACTCAATCTTATGTGAGTGTTCATTGATGTGAGAAGCCTGAGATTATTATCAAGGATGTAAGCAGGTTCCAGAAAAAAAGACTCGAAATTTTTAAACATTTGATTGTATTTTAAGCAATTTCGTGCAGTTTGAACAACATTCAAACCAAGAAGTGTAATAAGTCAATGGCAAAAGTCAATAAGTCAAATAAACAAAGATGGCAGATGCAGTAAAATTTTGAAGTTAAATCAGTACTTTTAAAAAATCGGGCACAGCTTCCGCGCCCCTGGCTACCCGCCAGGTCTGGGAGCAATACTGCCATACACTTCAACCCCCATACCCCAGACACAAGGACAACTGTCACAAGCGTGCAATGTCTGACCCTTTCCCCATGTTAAAGCATATTGAAAAAAATCCATTGCAAACATAAGACACTAATACAAAATATATTCCCATGTTATGAGTTTTCGGAGGCTGAAGAAACAGTCATAGTTTTCTCGCTAATGACATGAACAACTGTAAAACATCTCATTCACTTATAGGCTAAAAGACAACTTTATCTTAAAAACAAGCCATCATCTGACTCTGAGTATTTACAATTTCTGTGTGAAATTAACACCCCACGTTATAGTGCAAGTATTTGTGATAGAAACGTATGACGTCCGAAAATCTATGCTGCTGAAAGCTCTGATCGAAAAAAGGACAGATCACATATTTCGGAGGGTTTTTAAAAAATATTTGATGATATTTTTACGCGGAAGAATTACTGTTTTAAAAAACGTGATTTTCCGTGTTTCCGCAGAGATTTCACATCCCTGTATTATTGTAGAATCTATTTTAACTAAAGCTTTTGTTTATAGGGGCTGTTGGGTAGTCTAGTGGTTCAAGTGTTCACTCTTCATGCTGAAGGCCTGGGTTTGATTCCCGACATGGGTACAATGTGTGAAGCCCATTTCTGGTGTCCCCAGACGTGATATTGCTGGAATATTGCTAATAGCGGCGTAAAACCATACTCACTCACTCACTCACTCACTCACTCACTCACTCACTCACTCACTCACTCACTCACTATAAGCCCAATAATCAGAGGTTAGTGAGCATCTTGAGGGACTGTGTCTCCCAACATCAATTTATCTTACATAAACCACAAACTTGAAATGAGGGGCTGGTCATTCATTATTGGGCCTGGGTGGGTCAGAGGGAATCAGGGTAGGGTGAATGAAACATATGCGGTCTCTAGGGGAGGGCCATAGAAAATAGTGCATATTTTTGGGGAGGATCATAGAAAATAGTGCATACTTTTGGGGAGGGTCATAGAAAATAGTGCATATTTTGGGGAGGATCATAGAAAATAGTGCATACTTTTGGGGAGGGTCATAGAAAATAGTGCATATTTTGGGGAGGATCATAGAAAATAGTGCATATTTTGGGGAGGATCATAGAAAATAGTGCATACTTTTGGGGAGGGTCATAGAAAATAGTGCATACTTTTGAGGAGGGTCATAGAAAATAGTGCATACTTTTGGGGCGGGTCATAGAAAATAATGCATATTTTGGGGGAGGGTCATAGTAAATAGTGCATATTTTGGGGAGGATCATAGAAAATAGTGCATATTTTTGGGGAGGGTCATGAAAAAAGCAGTTCTTTTGCATTTTAACTTTTCAGGGAGGGTCATGAAATATGTACCAGGACATGGAGGGGGTCATCCGAAAGTATGACAAGCATGAGGGGAGGGTCATTATTTTCTGTACATTAGTGCATCAAAAAGCTTCGTTTCTTTCACTCTTCTCCCCACACCCCCTAGAATAGGTCAGACTGCTGTCATATAGTTGGAACATTGCAGAATGCAGCATTAAACAACAAACATGCAAAAATTAGCTGAGGATTATTTTTGGATATGACCTGTGATGTCTACGCCCAGCATGATCATGTTTATAATAATCAACATTGTCCTTTTTCTTTCAGAACATGCTAGCACACGACCGATTCTTTGAGAATGTTCAAACCTCGAACGTATGACTGGTCTAGCTGCGTCCGTCACATGTCCGCCACGTGTCTGTCACATGTCCGTCCACCCGTCAGTTCTACTGTCTCGGGGGGGCTGCTTGGAATCTCGCCTCTTAGTCAAGGGAGACAACTCCTGCATGAACCGCCTTTGGCAGGCTCTCACACTGAAACAAGTCCTTCAACATTGTCTTCAACAGTGTCTTTTACCAGGACGACCCAATTCTAACACGCGCATGCATTATGGGAGAATTCATGCATCATACATCATGCGCCGATCAAATTTCATCGAAGAAGGTATCTGTATCTTCATCGCCTAAACACCCGGATCGGTAACCATGTGACTATTCTTACTGGAGCTCTACCTTTTGGACGTTTCCGTAGCCTTGGTGCAAAGTTAAGGCTTCTCTGTAGATGTGTACAGCCATATTTTTATAGGAGACTTTGTAAGATAGTGTAGATACTGTTGATATGTCCAATGTAAATAGTACAACATAGTGCATTGTTGTGGTAGTTATTACAGACATTGGATCTGTTTTGTAGAACTTTTGCTGACTCCATCAAGTAGTTACACTGACAGACCGGTAGTCCAAGAGCAGTTCCTACCCAAATGTGACATTCAAAAATGATCGATCTTCTCTTTGAGACATTGAGATTTTTAATTGTGCTTCCTGTTTCTTGTGTTGACCATTTTGTTGCTGTTGTATCTTTTTTAATCAAATGGAGAAATGTTTTATCGCCAGATTCCTAAACTCTACCAGTGCTACACGATGTGTTTTAAATGGAGTGAGTCGATTTTTACATAATTTTATACAAAATATAAAAAACCCAATGTCAATTTGCCAAATTATGATTTTCTTCCAGACCCTTTAAACCCTCCTCTTTAAAAAAATCAATCTGTTTACTATGACTAAATAACTATTGGCTTGACCTTTGCCCTTTAATTTGTTTTCGGTCAAGAATGAGGTGGGAGGGAATTTGAAATAAGATTGCGCACATTTGCAAGTTCCATCCAGATGTTTTCCTGTCAAGGAAAGCGTTGGTTGTGTGGAAAGCAAGATTTGATCATGTACTGCGAATATTTTGTCCCGTTGCTTTTTGTCTTGACATTTCGCTTGGTCACCATTCGTTTGTTAATCTGCACAAAACTGCTTTGAATATGGATGTACTATATTCCTTCTACTTTGTAGGTTTATGAAACAATGCATTATTTTCCCGACAACATATTATTTACCCACTTTTGAAATATTTCAAAACTTTGCAGTCTTTGATGGCTCCTTGTTATTATGAAACCCAACAATTGTACTGAATTTATTTTCATACCATATCTATAGTGTTTGGGTAAAATCGGATGCCGATAGATTTTGAGAATTTGTTGATGACACTGCTGTGGATGGCTCCGTGGTGCTGATAGTCCTAAAAGTTGTATTAAGAGAATCGTGCTGATATATGACCAGAACTGGTTATACAGTCCAAGAAATAATGTCTTACAAATTGCGAAAGGCTAATGACCTTCTTTGATTAGCTAGTAGCATAGAAATGCCCTTATATCCCAGTTGTCTCCACGCTGCAGTTTACCATGCAGAGTTGCATCCCTTAGCCGTGCCAGGAACTTATGATCATGGTTTGAATCCCATATTTGGCCTGATTTGGGATGTAGGTTTGTCAGCACCATTCCCGTGCTTGTGGTTTCACAAAAGTGGTAAAAGTCTAGCATCACTTCGAGCATCACATCAAGCTGACACGCCGTGATATAACTGAAATACTGTTTAAAGAGGTGTTAAGAAATTCAGGAAGGAATCCATTGTTACATAATTCTGAGGTGTAAATGAACCATTGACAGTTGGCTGAAGTGCAAGCAAATATTTCTGCTAAGCATTTGTTTGGGTGATTGTGAGGGGCAGTTCTGTCAGGTAGAGACTAATTAATATTGATTTTGATGTAAATGAGAAGCTGGATATAAATTCAGCTGTTTTGTTATGGTGGAATAAAAATAGGAATGTAATTGATTTTTGCGAATGTATACATTGTTTCAAGTGCCACTAACAACGTACCTATTCATGTCTGGTTGTGATGAATTTGACCATGTGTGCCTACATGTAGGCTCGGTGTGCCTACTCACCTGTACCAACCAGGGGACTGCGGGAGAATTTATATTGACTTTTTAAATGAAAATGCTTTTGAAATATTTCCGCTATTTTCATATTGGTCAATGTTTACACATTTGCTAAGGTGTATTTTAAACGAAACAGTGTTTTGTATTCATAAGAATGTGTTGTTACCAGAACCACTCCCCGGTTTGGTACTGGTGTAGAAGCCTATATTTCCCTATCTGACTCGACTGACTACCACTGACCAGCTCACTGTCTTGCCTGAGAAACTAGGACATCCCAGAAACCCCACATCACATAGTAAGACGTGTGGTTTGTAGCCCCTTAAAAAAAACCTTAAAGATTTCTTAAAAAGATTGTCAGATGATGCCTATTATTTTCGACTGAAAGTAAAGAACTTAAGTACTGTTCCAAGCTGATTGTGCCAACAAAGTTCTTCAAGGACATCCAATTCATTAAGGCCTCAATTCATAGATTTACGTCCAAAATGTTTAAAAAAAAAAAAAAATTAAATTTTACATTTTTTATTTATTTATTTTTTATTTTATTTTTTTAGATAGACTGTTCATGGCATCAGTGATCATTAACTGTCGACAGATGTGATTCATATGAAGCATGAATGTTTGGTAGGACTACATACATGGTGAATATTATGTAAGGATAAGGACATGTCGGTTTTCATCATCTGTAAATACTTGGGGACCCATGAAGATCCTGTGTAGAATAGGTCTTCAGCAACCGATGCTTGCCGTAAAAGGCGACTAGGCTTGTCGTAAGAGGCGATTAACGGGAACGGGTGGTCAGGCTCGCTGACTTTGTTGATGCATGTCAGCGATCCCAATTGCATGGATCGATGCTCATGATGTCAATCACTGGATTGTCTGGTCCATACTGGATTATTTAAAGACCGCCGTCATATAGCTGGAATATTGCTGAGTGTGGCGTTAAACAACAATCAACCAAACAAGATACTTGGGGGGACAATAAAATAATGTGAGGTGGAATGTTTGGTAGTAGTAAGTGAAAATCAAATAGTTAATTTATTATGACCTTAGAAATGCTTCAAGTGTGAGCATGTCCCGCGCAGGGTGTTGCTGGGATGTCCTGTGTTGTTCTCCTGAGACTGATATTCTCACACTGATATTGTCTTTGAACATTGTTATTTTTGTAACATTTACCCACCTCCTGACAAAATGTCATACTCTGAAACTCAACTAACATCCACTTTTGCCTTCACAATATATTTTTCTGCCTCTATCTTTATCAAAAGAATTAATTATGTCAGACACACCTGTCAAGACTAGCACATTCACTAGCAATGCATTTTCACAATATGTTTTGTCTGTATCTGTATAAAGTTGTATCCTAGGGACTTGGATGTTTCTGAGTAATATATTTCTTTGATATATCATGCACCGAAGTACAGTATATCATTTTTGATACATATTTCAATGTCATATTTTCATAAACAGCCATGTCTCATATCTGCTATATACCATGTTTACATAGCTTAAGATTTGATACCCTATTGCAGTTGCAGGGGCGGTCCGGTAGCCTAGTGGTTAAAGCGTTCGCTCGTCACGCCGAAGATCCGGGTTCGAATCCCGACATGGGTACAATGTGTGAAGCCCATTTCTGGTGTCCCCCGCCGTGATATTGCTGGAATATTGCTAAAAGAGGCGCAAAACCTGACTCATTTTTTCACTCATTCACTGTTTTGTCTGCTCTAGACTCGTTTATATACAGGCTGCTGTCATGTAGCTGGAATATTGCAGAGTATGGGGTTAAACTGCAAACACTCGCAAATAAACTCAAGGTTGGTGAGTTGGGAGGACTGTCACTGGGCATGCCTGCAGTTACCACTTTCTCACGTTTCTGATTGGCTGTTTTGACTTCCGGTTTTTGATTGGTTGAATAAGCCTCATTGAAAGTAGATTCTCCAAATACACACAAGAAACAAAAGTTTGTGATTTCCATCAAACGTTGACAAGATTAATGTTACATGGGTGTGAAAACAACTCCCAGATTGTCTCTTCTGACAACAATGTGACAGCATTGGGAGAGATAGTCTTCTTTGAGTCATGCTAGTTGTTGTGTTACTGTATCTATCAGATATATGGCTGTACATGATTGTGCAGTGTCCACTCGCTAGCAGAGCCATTATGGCTTCTGATCCACATTTCCATCAGCCTGTCTGTTTTCTAGAAATACAAATTGCTGTTATTGTGTCATGTTAGGTTAGGTTCCAACTGTTGTACCTCTGTCTGTCTGTCTTAGTGAGCTGTTCTGCCGTTAGTCCAAGTCTTCCAACTCCCTTCAGGGAGCAGAGGGGCGACATTGAACGTGAGAAAAGTAATGTAAGGAGATCAATTTAGGAGTAGTAGGGCGGTAAATATATGGGTTAACTAATGCAAGGTGATAAATATATGGGTTAACTAATGCAAGGTGATAAATATATGGGTTAACTAATGCAAGGTGATAAATTGAGGGTTTAATATACAGAGATAAATAGATTGGTTAACTGTAAGGGAGATAAATTGATGGGTTAACTGTAAAATAAGGAGATAAATTGATAGGATAACTGGAGAGTAAGGAGCTAAACCAATGGGTTAACTGTAAAGTAAGGAGAAAAAAAAAATGGGTTAACTGGAGAGTAAGGAGCTAAACCAATGGGTTAACTGTAAACTAAGGAGATAAATTGATTGGTTAACTGTAAAATTAGGAGATAAATTGATAGGATAACTGTAAAGTAAGGAGATAAATCAATGGGTTAACTGTAAAGTAAGGAGATAAATCAATGGGTTAACATTTTATTAAGGGGATACATTTAGTTTGATAAGATGTATTTGACGTACCTTTGACATAATGGAAACTATTTTCTTGAATTACCATTAACAAGTCAGAACCGGTATTTTCATTCTAACTTGTAACCATGTTTGAAAGTTTGTAACCATGTTTAAAGTGATCATTTGGATAAGGATTAATATTGTTGTCACACAAATTGCCAAAATTTGTAAGGTACTAAAGATGAGTTCACACTGATAAAGTTACCATGTCGGACAGTAGAGCTGGGTACGAGGATACGGCTCGGTACGAGGGTGTAGCAGTGGCAACATGTTTGAGTTGATACAGCACAACGAACACCACCAGTGTGAACCTAGCTTTGCCCGACTCTGTGAAATTGTATATAACCTGTATATAGCACTGCCGTCCAACCACCCCACTTCTCTTCACGATCTGTGCACGAAGCCAACTGGCAGTTTTAGGTCACCTTTACCTAATTTTGTCTCATAACAAAATGCCACCAGTTTAGTTAGTTTTCCAAAATGTTCAAATGTATTTTCTTAATTCTTTCGGCTCATTCCGGTCTTTCCAGTTGTCAAATTTCCAATCCAACTTTAGGCCTCCAATATCAGAAAGTCATACATCTTCAGCTTCTATGACCGCTCGTGTCATTCGGTCAAGCCGAATGCCCCTCTCGTGGCTATTTTGTCGACTTGGTTCTACCTTCGTGCCAGGTAATATCGCTAAAGAATAGTCCACTTCTATATTTTCTGAATATGATACTACTGCCTGTTATTCTGCTGTCACTGTGGTATATTTTTACATGCAAACTACATGTTCATCTATAAACAGGAAAGTAAATGTTATATTTTTAAATAAAATTACTATTTCTAGGGCTAAATGTTGTGATGGAGGTTTCATCTTGAAGTAACTGAAAGTGGGGAGAGTGGTGACGAACGCATCTTCAGATAATAAGTTCTTCAGCGAATTGTGTTCCTGACTGGTAGACATGGTATATTTAATGCGTGGGAACAAATTTTTACAACATATTGATATTTGTTTGACTTTCTCTGCCCCTTACTCCAGGCTGACTATTTTCAGTTTGTTCAAATAAGCACACATATATTCAGTTGAAATAAGCAATTCACTTCTCAAACATACTTGTCTTTTGTCGCTTATTCTATTTTGATTAATTTCAAGATCCATTCATTTAATTTGCTTTGATTTTCTTTGTCCTATTTTTTTAATAACTAAAACTGATGTCATTGCAAAGTTTTGTAATATTTCTCAAGAAATAATGCTTCTTAATGCAATGAATGGTTTCTTTTCACCCTAACAGTTCTGCACATTGGTATAAACTGTTGTTTTTAGCTGTCATATTGACATGTTTTTCATCTTCAGTTATGAAATCTTATTTACTTGGATTTTGACACTCATTAATCATTTTTAAAAGTCGGTCATTATTTTGTTTTCATGTTTTACTATGTTATGAAAAAAAAGAAAGTTGTCCAATTGTTTGTTTGTTTGCCATGGAAACTGAAAACACTGGGGAATCTAGAGGGAACTAGGCCACCTTTTATGCAGGATTCAAGCTGGACTTATCCTGGAATGTTTTTATTCTTCTACTGTGACCTTGTCAGGAATGAAATAAGACATTCTTGCGTTCAAGACATGAATGGTAACTTAGATTCCGACAATGGTGTGGCTAGAATTGTCAGATCTGTCAATTCCAGGGCCTGTTCCACAAAGTGATCTTACCACTACGATCATAACTCCCGTACTTTAACATTGACTTACAACAGTCATAGTTACGATGATGATCGTATCTCCAGTGCGTTAACATTGACTTACGACAATCGTAGGCTATGATGATCGTAACTCCCGTACCTTAACATTGACTTACGACAAACGTAGCGCTCTGATGATCGTAACTCCCATACTTTAACATTGACTTACGACAATCATAGCGCTCTGATGATCGTAACTTCAATACTTTAACATTGACTTACAACAATCGTAGAGCTAAGATCACTTTGTGGAACAAGTCCCAGAGAACCAACTTCAGGTATACCAAAAACATGGAATTATCATCACGTAAAACATCTTTATTTCAGAAAGCATATTCTATGTGTTCTGTGTCAATGGAAAATAAAGGATTGCTGGCTAATGCATCCAATCTAATGTAATGTGAAGATTTCCAGATGAATGAACTTTGGACATGTATGTTAGCCTGAGAGAACATGCCTCGGGTGGTGGTGAGTACATGGTAGCCCTGCAGACGGTAGCCCTGCAGACCTGGTTTTCACATTCACATCTTGAATATGGTTCTCTTTCCATGATTGACAGTGCCAGATCTGAACCTTCCCTCGCTCAGTCTGAGGCAGAATATCAGCAAACTGGTTCAGATATTGGATTATATTTTGAGTGAGAGAGCATGTGAACTCTTAAAGAATTTGACTGACTTGTGCAATGGTATGTGTCAAGTTACTGTGTGTTTCCATCATGTAATAAACAGCATTATCAAATAGTCATGTTTCTGTTCTTTTTCATTAGCTCTCTGTGTTTGTTTATTTGTTGTTTAACGCTGCACTCGGCAATATGAAGACGGTCTGTAAATAATGGAGTCTTGACAAGACAATCCAGTGATTGACATCATGAGCATTGATCTACGCAATTCGGCCAAGTCAGCATGCCTTACCACCTGATCCAGTCGCTTCTGATGGCAAGCATCGGTTGCTCAAGACATACTCTAACCGAACCTAGGGGCGGTCGGATAGCCTTGTGGTTAAAGCGTTCACTCGTCACGCTGAAGACCCGGGTTCGATTCTCGACATGGGTACAATGTGTGAAGCCCATTTCTGGTGTCCCCTGCCCTGATATTGCTGGAATATTGCTAAAAGCGGCGTAAAACCATACTCACTCACTAACCGTAACCTTAACGAGTGTGGCTGGTGGGGTGTCATTGTTTCCAGACAGTTGTTGCTCATGGAGTCATTGGTTTGTCTGATTCGAATAGTTACATGCCAAGCTCATACAGGTGGGCTGTATTTAAGCAACAAACAAGTATGACTCACAACAAAAATCTTCAAAAAAATAAAAGCGACAAAAACCTTTCGTGTTCACAAGAAAGAAATAACCACAGCAGGAAAGATAATGAGCACGTTTTGTTGCAAACATTTCAACATTCAAGAGTCCTTGTTGAATGTACGGCTGATACCCACATTGCCTTTGTGCAGAGGAGGTTGTACCAAGCTAAGACTCATTGGTATAATAGCTGTATATCACTGTGTAGCGTTGCCGTAGGGCTGTATATCACTGTGTAGCGTTGCCGTAGGGCTGTGTAGCGTTGCCGTAGGGCTGTATATCACTGTGTAGCGTTGCCGTAGGGCTGTATATCACTGTGTAGCGTTGCCGTAGGGCTGTATATCACTGTGTAGCGTTGCCGTAGGGCTGTATATCACTGTGTAGCGTTGCCGTAGGGCTGTATATCACTGTGTGGCGTTGCCGTAGGGCTGTATAGCGTTGCCGTAGGGCTGTATATCACTGTGTAGCGTTGCCGTAGGGCTGTATATCACTGTGTAGCGTTGCCGTAGGGCTGTATATCACTGTGTAGCGTTGCCGTAGGGCTGTGTAGCGTTGCCGTAGGGCTGTATATCACTGTGTAGCGTTGCCGTAGGGCTGTATATCACTGTGTAGCGTTGCCGTAGGGCTGTATATCACTGTGTAGCGTTGCCGTAGGGCTGTATATCACTGTGTAGCGTTGCCGTAGGGCTGTATATCACTGTGTAGCGTTGCCGTAGGGCTGTATATCACTGTGTGGCGTTGCCGTAGGGCTGTATATCACTGTGTAGCGTTGCCGTAGGGCTGTATATCACTGTGTAGCGTTGCCGTAGGGCTGTATATCACTGTGTAGCGTTGCCGTAGGGCTGTATAGCACTGTGTAGCGTTGCCGTAGGGCTGTATATCACTGTGTAGCGTTGCCGTAGGGCTGTGTAGCGTTGCCGTAGGGCTGTATAGCACTGTGTAGCGTTGCCGTAGGGCTGTATAGCACTGTGTAGCGTTGCCGTAGGGCTGTATATCACTGTATAGCGTTGCCGTAGGGCTGTATATCACTGTGTAGCGTTGCCGTGGGGCTGTATATCACTGTGATATCACTGTATAGCGTTGCCGTAGGGCTGTATATCACTGTGATATCACTGTATAGCGTTGCCGTAGGGCTGTATATCACTGTGATATCACTGTGTAGCGTTGCCGTAGGGCTGTATATCACTGTGATATCACTGTATAGCGTTGCCGTAGGGCTGTATATCACTGTGTAGCGTTGCCGTGGGGCTGTATATCACTGTGTAGCGTTGCCGTAGGGCTGTATATCACTGTGTAGCGTTGCCGTAGGGCTGTATATCACTGTGTAGCGTTGCCGTAGGGCTGTATATCACTGTGTAGCGTTGCCGTAGGGCTGTATATCACTGTGTAGCGTTGCCGTAGGGCTGTATATCACTGTGTAGCGTTGCCGTAGGGCTGTATATCACTGTGTAGCGTTGCCGTAGGGCTGTATATCACTGTGTGGCGTTGCCGTAGGGCTGTATATCACTGTGTGGCGTTGCCGTAGGGCTGTATAGCGTTGCCGTAGGGCTGTATATCACTGTGTAGCGTTGCCGTAGGGCTGTATATCACTGTGTAGCGTTGCCGTAGGGCTGTATATCACTGTGTAGCGTTGCCGTAGGGCTGTGTAGCGTTGCCGTAGGGCTGTATATCACTGTGTAGCGTTGCCGTAGGGCTGTATATCACTGTGTGGCGTTGCCGTAGGGCTGTATATCACTGTGTGGCGTTGCCGTAGGGCTGTATATCACTGTGTAGCGTTGCCGTAGGGCTGTATATCACTGTGTAGCGTTGCCGTAGGGCTGTATATCACTGTGTAGCGTTGCCGTAGGGCTGTATATCACTGTGTAGCGTTGCCGTAGGGCTGTATAGCGTTGCCGTAGGGCTGTGTATCACTGTGTAGCGTTGCCGTAGGGCTGTGTATCACTGTGTAGCGTTGCCGTAGGGCTGTATATCACTGTGTAGCGTTGCCGTAGGGCTGTATATCACTGTGTAGCGTTGCCGTAGGGCTGTATATCACTGTGTAGCGTTGCCGTAGGTGAACATATAGTGCCCCGAAATAAAGTCATGTAAAAATGTTAAATAAAAATACGCCCTAAAAGGAAAACTCAAACCCATTAATTTCAGCTTGGGGAACGTACTGCAATTTCTGAGAATGGAATAGGCTGAGTATTTTATAAAAAATATGCTCTCTGGTGTGTACATATAAAATGAGTTTTGTCTCGATGATTTGCCTCAACAGATTCCATTGGGCGTAAAAGGCAAAAGAGCAGTGAACAATATCTGAATGGGTCACTGAGAATCGTTGACGCCAAAATGGTGTTCTCTAAAAGGCTGAGCCTATCATGCACTTCCGTGTACCTCCGCCCATCACACCATAGGCGAGACAATGTTGCTTCATGGAGATGCCTATTTACAACCCAGTCGTCTAAGGCGCCGCGATTCGCTGTGCAGCTAGAGTTGCGTCCCTTGGGCACGCCAGAAACCTATGATTGTGGGTTCGAATCCCGGTTCGCCCCGATTACGTTTCTAGGTTTGTCAGCACCATACCCGTGCTCATGCGTTTCACCGAAGTGGTTAACGTCTGAGACCTGCATCACTTCGGGCTTTCCTCCCACATTAAGCTGACACGCCGTGATATAACTGGAATACTGTTAAAAGCGGCGTTAAACCCAACTCACTCACTCACTCACTCACTCATATTGCTTTGACTAATGTTTCTGTGTATCTTCAGGTAAATACTTGACATGCATTTGTTCATGACGGGTGACACAGGTGGAGCAAGTACTTTGTCGCTTTTTATTTTACAAACTGAATGTTTATACTCCCTTATCCCCTGAACGTTTCCTTTTGATTAACTAGGTAGATACAACACTGCCACGCCAACACAGAGAGTAAAGGGCGAGCTACAGAACCGAAACGTTGAACTCATGCAACGACGCAACTGCAACTCTTGCATGGATCTTCAAGTTCGCCATCGTCATACTTCTAAAAGAACCGCATGTTTTCTTACCTCGTTTAAATAATTTTTATTCACAAAAGTTCTTTGGAAATGTACTTAACTGTTATGATCTGGGACACGCGAATGAATCCAGGTAGAATTGGCTATCAAGCAGGGACCACAGTAGTGACTAGCAGCTAAGAGAATCTCGCTCGCTGTCGAGACTGGGCTTGGCCTATTTCAATGACACCAGAGCACCGTTCTCAGATGTTAGGTGAGGTGAAATGGGGTTTAACGTCGCGTCCAAGATTGTTGCACTTATATAGCGACGTGCATGCACGTGTGTGTGTGTGTGTGTGTGTGTGTGTGTGTGTGGCTGTTTGTACTAGTCCGGACTGATGCCAATTGATAGTGCTAGCTCACTGAGATACCATGCCGCAGTTTAACATGAATACCCCACTCAGACATAGTATACTGACTCCGAGCCGAGAAGTCCTTGTTTTAGCCCCTTAACGCCGAACGCCAGACAGGGTAACAACAAGTACCATCTTTTAACGTCTTTTGGTATGACGCGGCCGGGGATCGAACCCCGGACCTTCCGCTCTCCGGGCGGACGCTCTACCACTAGACCACGGAGGCGGTCTCTCAGATATAAATTGACATATGAAGCCATAAGGCTCTCCGGGATAAACAAGAATTAATTTCGGCCATGTTTAAAGTAGGATTGGAATTCTGTGTACATTTGTTTAGTGAAACCATAGCTTGGATCAATTAAACCTTTCAGCTGCTTAGACCTTGTAGGTTCAGAAGAGATGTCAAAAATGCAGTAACACTGGAAAAACGGGGGTACGTGAACGTTAAAGGTCACAGCTTGATCCAAAATTAAAATATGCCAAGAAACGTGTGATATGTTCTACCACATACTTGCTGCATATCAAATCTCGCTATGATACATGTAGAAATGGATGAGTTATGGGTCAAAATGACAGTTTCTCTATATGGTAGCCATGTTTATTAAAGTCGGATCGGAATTCTGTAAGCATAGCGGTTTTTACACAGGTAGTCTGTATATCAAACAGAAGGTTTCAAGGCACACAAATAGTATTGCCAATCATCAGTTATATGGTCAGGTAACAACATAAGGCTTGTCAACCTATGAGTGGGATATGTGTCATGTGGAAACTTATCTGTATTATACACAATAAACAAAGTCCTGTGTAATCTTGCTGTTTCAATCTTGGTGCTCCTTTAAAACAATATGTACGTGTATTTTCGCATTTGGCAAGAAATTGGGTGTCAGTAATAACATTGTTTTTCTTTCGTGGTCATTATGAAGAAGAATCTGGTCATTTGAGCTTTTGATATAGGCTTCCTTTTCAGAGGCACTGTCAGTTTTGCAGCTGATCTGAGGCAACTGGTATCTGTATGATGAACCTCAATCAGATGGAATTGCGTAAAATTGAAATCGTTTGTTGGTGACATGACCT